AATGCAGTGGTTGCCTCTAATTTCAAATGGCTAGATATTTTTGTTTAAAGCCAGTTTGTTTGTTATAAAGCAAATAGCCAATAAATAAATTTGCTTAAAAATCGGTATCAGAATCCAATTTGCTAGTTAAAAAAGAAAAGAAAATCTGAATTCTGAATCAGCTATGATCGGAGCATCACTGATTAAAATACTAAGTAAAAGGCCTCAAATTTGAAGCACAATCTGGGATGTCTTTTTCTATCAATTCTTCAATAGGTAGATCTTGTCTTTCATAAAGGCCGAGGTCAGGGATCTTGGGCCTAAAAAGGTTGGTGACCACTGCTCTAAACCATATGTTTTTAGGTATCAAGATCAAAGGCACCCTGTGTTATTATATTTATAAACTTTTCTTTTTTTTAATTATAATGGTACATTCAATTAGTTAATAAGACACAGTCAGGAAGCATAAGTTACCAATCAAATCAATATAAAAAAAAAATTCTTTGCACTACAGAGGTGGCACAGAAGAACACAAAAGTGGCATTTAGGTATACTTGCAGACTGTTTAACGAGGCTCAGAGGTGGCATGAAAGCATTTAAATTCATAATCTTATGTGATGAATAAGTTCTGAATATAGAAATATTAAATTATTTAAATAGGTGGCGGCAATCACTGTCTTTGTCACTGAATCATTCATTCAGTCGATTTGTTCAGACAGCGGATTCATTCAGGAACGAAGCAAGTGACTGTTCAAAAAGATTCATTCAAAAATGATTATTATTATATGTTGCGCTATGTTTATGTGGATAATAAAACATAGAAATCCCTTTAATTTTCCAAAAAATCTAACCAGTTGGAGCTGAAACATTTCCAGCCCTGGTTAGTGTAGCGAAACCATGGTTAATTTGTGGTTACCATGGATTAACTATAGTAACCATAGTTTTTTTTTTTTTTTTCCATTTTCTTAAAAATGGTTTAAAGGCTGAGCTGTGAAGGCCATGATCATTAAACTTTGTTTTTGTGAAGACCTGTATCTGAACTGTAAATCGTGCTTTTTACAATCATAATCAACAACACAGACACTGTAGAAAGAACTTGATTTATTTATTATTTAATTTTTTTTGGTTTTCCAAAAAGTGTAAAAATGGTCAAACTGAGTTTTACTTTTTTGGTGTAAAAAAAAAAAAGGTCATAAAAATATGGCTGAGGATTATTGCACGAAAATGTAAAATGTTGAAAAAAAAACAAGTTGATCTGTTTTTATTTAGGCTTGCAAAGGAGCGGAGAATTTCCGGTAAATTAAAAAACTTTGAAAACACTTTACTATAAGGTTCATTAGTTAATGTTGATTAATGCATTAACTAACATTAACAAGGAACAATAGATTTGTTATAGTATATTATGTATAACGTTACAGTATAACTTAAGAAAATTGTTAGTTATGTTAGCTCAGGTCCATTAAATAATATTAACAGATAAAACTTTGGATTTTAATAATATAATAGTAAATGTTGCCGTTACTATGAACAGAGATTAATAAGTGCTTTACAAGTATTTGTCATTATTAGTTCATGTTAACTAATGTTAACAAATGGAACATTATTGTAAAGTGTCACAAACGTTACTATAAATTTAGGCTTTAGGGTGTCAAAAATAAAAAAAAAGGAGGGAAACATGCACAAAACATTTATTTTTCTTTGCCAAAATTTTGAATATTTACACACAGATTTGCACAAATGTTTCTTCTAGGTGCACTTATGTTTATATTGTGTTTCTAAGATGTAATAAAATCTTAAAACCATGTGCTGCTTTCCAAACCGCTGGATGACAAACTGACACACAAACAGTAAAAGGTGTAGTATTTTATTCAGAAAAGAGAAATGAATGTAGAGTACTTAGAAACAAGGGTGAGTGAAAGGTATATTTACAGTAAAGCAACATTTAAAGGCAATCAGACATCAGTAACAGATCACATTGTGTTAGCAAAAAACCCCTTCAACTCCTACTTACAGTATATAAATGATGTTATACCTAACTACACTTCCAAGATCACGTCTGAGTGACTGGTGTTTGGAGCGGCTCCGCTGTTAATGATCAAACTAAAACGGTGACGTCAGTGTCGCTAATAAAGTCTTATCGTGTCGTATAAAACATGCAGTTGGTCGCGATCGGATGCACATCTGAGATGAGTTTGGCAGCAAGCGCTAAGGTGACGTTTCACCAGGTTGGCGAAATTCGCGCATTTTCGCACTTCTTTTGGGGGGGGGAACCATGATTTATAAAATTTCGCTGCATAGTATCGCTGCACGTGGTGAACGTTAAACATTTTTCAGCGGTAACTTGTAAGTGACGGTGAAATGTTTTGGAATCTCCACTGAGAGTTCGAGTTGGCGTCGCTAACGTCTCAAGCGCTGGCCTCCATGTTGTCGGGACAGCCCTGCTGCAGCTGTACGACCACAGTCTCCACGGTAGCCTCCTCCTCGCTGTCGGTGGTGTCGCTGCGCTCGTCGTAGTCCGAGGACTCGGCGTCGGGACGGGACAGCGAGCCGGACATGGTGCCGAAGGAATGGGCGCTGGTGGAGGCCAGAGATCGCAGCAGGGGCGTGTTTCCCGACACTTCGTTCTCCTCGCCGCCGCTGTCACCAGACTCCGACTCGGAGTCAGAGTCGCCGTCAGACGGCACGACCTTCTGCTTGCACACGGGGCAGGTCTTCTTGGTTTTGGTCAGCCACGGGTCGACACACTTGCTGTGATAGGCTGAGGATTGGTGCAGAGAGAATTAATGCCACACATCCTGACAAAGCTGGTTTATTACATGGTAATTATTTTAATGTATTAGTAATTCACTTCAATTCCACTAACTAAAATTAGTTCAAAAGACATTATCACCATATATATATATATATATATGTATTTTTTTTAAAGAAATATTGATAATTTAATTTAATATATAAATTGATCCAATTATTATTCTGCACTTTAATGTCATGGGTTGTTTTTTCTTAAA